TTTTTATATTATATTATTTATAGCACTGTTACTGGAAACTATCCAGATGTATTTTCTGTATGCAGGTGTTTTGAGGGTGCTTTTTTTAGCAGGAGTAGCATAAGGTAACGTTAAGAAGGGTGGCAGTGATCTTCACAGTGTAACTCATGTTATTGTAAATACCTGCAGCCATTAGGCTGCAAGTAAATTAATAGATTAAAAAATCCAGTTTACTTGTGAATCATCTTCTAAAACTTGTATTTACAAGTTTAATTTTAATATAATAAAACACTGTAGCATGTTTTCCCATTAAAAAATACCTGTTTAGCCTTTCTTTATAATTTTCTGTATTATTTTGTCTTGCAAATGTGAGTGTATTGTGATATTTTATGGAGTTTTATTTCTATTAGCAGCAGCATTCTTTGAAATGATCAAGAATTCCATGCTCCTTTTGTTGCTGGAGACCACTTTGAAAAAATGTGTCTATATGTGCATGCATGTATGTGTTTGTCTATACATATGTGTTTGTGTAGATCATATGAATGTGTATATGTTTTGTTTTCAGCAATCAGTAGTGTGATGCAAAATGGAGAGAAAATAGACGTTTTGCTGCTCGTTGAAAAAGGAAGGTAAGGTTCCCATCTGAATAAAGTTTTGATCTGCTTTTATATTGATGTCTTAGAATTCTTGCTGATCAGTCATGGAGCTTTTTCACTGGTGGTTGTGAGAGAGAGAGAGAGAGAGGAAATTTGCAAACTTTTTAAAGGAGGGAAAGTCTTTGTGTATTAATTACGTTTTATGTCTGTGTCAGGAAATGCTAACAAGTACTGCTTAATTAAAAGCAGTTTTCCCACTGAGAAAATTATTCCCAGTCAGATTAGTCTGCCAATAACAGTTTCTTCAAAAGGACCTAACTTCTTCTACGCTGGAAAGAAAGAGTACATCTTTGGAGCATTTACCATTTCTCATTTTTTTTTAATCACTCTTATGTCTCAGAATTCTGTGTCGAAATTTGTGTAGGTCAGGATTGAGACGTATGTATGCGTCCCCTGGTTAGTCTTACTGTAATGTCTGATCTCAGTTAACAACATACTAGCTAGGGAAACAAACCTACTTTTGAAGGAAACATGATCCTTCAACATTTCCAAGTAGGTAATATTCTGCTGAGATGACTCTGTCAAATATAGTGATATGGGAGGTTGAAACTTGAAGTGAGTTGAGGCATTTCTGCATCATATATGGGTACAAATTTAAAGAGGAAAGTAAAATTACTGAAAATAATTCTTATTTTGTGATAGGTTGGGATTTTTTTATTTCAATGATAGGTTATTGGGCAAACATCTCTGTAAGAAGTGGTGCAATGTTTACACAGTCTTCTGAACACACAATAATAGGTTAATAAGGGCAGATTGTTTTTCTCTTCGGGGGAACAAAACAAAAAAAGCAAACCACATGTACTTTTGTCACCTATTCAGAGTTGGAGAAACTTATTGTAGCTTGTGTGTTCTGAATTTTAACTCCTCCTAAGATACTGTTTAAGTTCCAGAATTCAGTAAGATGATGCAGATCAGAAACAAACATTTTCTCCTGTTGGTTTTTTTTTTTCCCGAAGAAGCATATTGAAAGATTCAGCATTAAGTAATCTGCATAGACCAACCAGGGAACAAGAGGTATCCTGTTCAAGGTGCAGTCCAGTAGATGAATACAAAGTGTGCATCTAATTTCATGGATATCGGTGCTGAGCAAAACTTCTAGCTCCAAGTCAGCTTTTATTATTTCTTTCATTATAATATTTCTGTCAAGTGAGGGTAGGTTTTCCCTGAGCTGCTTTAATAGTTTAATGGAAATTCTGAACTATTTGAAAATAATTTCAACAGGGGCACTGGCTTATTTATGGTGGCCATGAGTATGTTTAATTTTTCTTCACTGAAGTCTGCCATAAAGAATTTAAATGCATAGCGTTCACATTATGTTAACCATTAAAAGCCATATGGGTATATAAGCTTTGGCATAGTGATTCTTGCTTAGGATGTTACTCTGAAAGTATCCAGGTGTTCAACACAGTTGCATGATATTACACACCTTGCAGCGAGAAGAAATTTGATGTGTGTATGTGGGGAAAATGATTAAATACACTTTTATCTTTAGACTCAATTATTGTAAATGGACACAAAACCAGCAATCCTCCTTTTGCCTTTCTATGATATGTCATAATTTATATGTTTTTCCTATTTTGTATGTTATTTTCTAGCAGTGCTTGTCTAATGCCAGCTTTGGCATAGATTGATCACTTGGAAGAGACCCTGTATACTGATCTATTGACAACTTTCATGTTAATTTGTTAGTCACTCAAATGCAGCATAAATGATAAAATCCTAAAAACCAGTATTGCAAGACTGAAACAAAACAACTAAGATTTTTCCAGAATTAAGAAAAGTTTGGGGGGGGGGGTGAACCCCAAACTAAACAAACACAACAAAAACCTCAACAAAAACAAAACCCCGGTCTTTTTTGCATAAAGAAATAAATGTGGTGGTTTTCTTATAACATCTTGCTAAATTTTATTAGAAGAAACTATGAAAATACCTTGAGTATTTTCCTACAGAAGCTCATATTGTTCTTCTGTTGGTTTTGTTACTGACTTCAAGCTAACTTCCCATTACTTACAAATACTTAGGCCTTTTTTTTTTTTCCCCCAAGTCTCAGTCACTGAGTTGATTAATTAGGGAAAACCCATACATTACATGTATCATATACCTTTTTCCTTGACATTTTTTTTCCATTGGCTGCTGTAGGTAAAAGAATGACTTAAGTTGTTACAAATGGACTTCTCAAGAGTGATTGCATATGCAAATAAACAGTTTCAGAACTATAAAAACTTCAGGTCTTACTGCTGAAATAATTATAATGTAATAAATCTATGAATTCTGGACTTTAACATACACATAAATTTACTAAGTATTTTTTAAAAGTCATAGGGTACATAAATTTAATGTTCATCTGATCCGTAACTGCTCAGTGGAAGAGTTTGCAATTGATTTTGGGCTGCAAGGTGCATAATGCTTTCCAGCTTGTATAAAATACAAGAATTCAGAGAGAATACTACCAAAAGGCATATGAGATTTTTTCTGAAGTGTCTTAGGCATGAATACACTCCGCTCCCACCCTCCTCTTTTTTTCCCCTCTTCCTCTACCCTGTTTTCTACTTAGCATATTGCTGATCATTTATTCTCTAACATGTTCAGCGAAAGAAAACTAGCAGCTCAGAAATAAGATGTGATGATCGTACTATACATTGCAGAGTAATAGCATATCATGAGAGGCTGAACCAGGCTAAAACATTTTCAAAGCAACAGGACTGTTTCTCTTTTGAAGATTGTTGGGGGTTTTTTTGAAGCTCAATGTACTTCCTAAATTTTAAGAGTAATCCTAGACTTTTTCTAAATTTAGATCATTTTTTTCAGATTCCAAAGATGTTTCATGTTTGTCTTTGGGTAACTTTGCTAAGTAAATTGGAGAGGAACACACTCCCTTTTGTAACACCTATTGAAATTTTATTGCACTCTGATCTCTGTTGGAACATTTTGTCCAACTTGCTAGAACTATCTCCAACCCAGCTGGAAATCCTGACTTCTAAAGCTGTTTTCTTACACAATAATCAGATGGTCGTTCTCTTCCTTTTATGTTCTTTCACAGTTAAAACGCTTCCTAACTTCTTGCTTGCTGTGTCTGACACTTCCCTCTGTCACACAAAGATGTCCTCTGTTTTGCTTCATAGTTGCTTGGGTTTTTTTCCACTCTCTCATATCTATTTGTAAAATTCATGAAGTGACTGGTCGTAATCTCTTGTTGCCATCCAGACAGAAGTTGCATAGTAGGTAGGTGAAGAAGCTACTCCTGTGTAGCTTGGCAGAGGTCGACAGAGAGATCTGTGCACTGAAGAGAGGAAAAGTGTCTGAAAACAACTGTATACAGTAATTTTTAAATATATCTTCTATATGTAAAAAATAATGCAAATTTTCTAATGCCATAGTTTAAGGAAAAAGAGTTGTACAGACAATTAAATTTCAAATGTTTCTTCTTTTTTTCTGTAATCATTTAAGCTCTGTCTTAGGTGTCAGTGAATGTTTTCAGACCGTAATGTAATCCAGATGGTGCTTTTTTTTCGTGTTACACTTCTCTTGTAGTTGGCTCTTTCTTATTATAGATAATAAACCTTCCCTACATACAGGCACAATTTCTTTATGCTGATGGTTCATTAATTACAATGCTTTCTTCTTAACCCTTTGATGAAAGCAGTAAGATTTCATCAGTATAATTTCATACCAATGCTATATTCTTAGTACCTTTTCGGATACATAGATTGTTAGAATCTCTTGAAAATTGCCAAAGGGCACTGAGTTATGCTGATGTCTGTTTCTGACCCTTCCTCCCCACAACCCTTACCCAAAATCACTTAGTGTTGCTGCTTTCCCAGTGCAGAGTTGTGCAACAAAGCACACAGACGTTGCTAAAGTAGTGGACTTTGCAAGATGGGTTAAAGATGAACCTTTGCACTGTCATGGATGAAGTGTGCTCACGTATGTTGCTTGTCAGACTACTGGTGCAGAAGGATATGATGGTAGTCCACGATAAAGTTGAAAAGCTAACAGTAGCTTCCTTGATGTTGAGACTAGGTGATGTTGGACTGCTGCAGTCATTTGTGCCAATTCAGTTGCCTCAGTTCCCTAAGGCAGAAATCTACATTGGCAGGCCTTCTTGTTTGTTTGAGTACTTAAATTATTAATTTCTTGGGTATGGACTGTATGTGCTCCACACTTAACAGGGCAAAACCTCTGCCGTTATTCACCGTGTAGTCATTATTGCTAACTATTTGTTATGAAGTGTGTGTTCTTTTGAACTCAAAGAAGTAGCACATACATAAACATACTGTAGAAGGCAATTTACATTGTAGGAATGCATTTTGGTTCAGTCTGTGCAAAGTAGTTAGTCTACGTGACAGGTAGATCTTTGTAAACATTGCAGTAAAAATTCTTTCAAACACAATTGCTTCATTAAGCTTAGAAGTATTCTTAATATCAAGTGGCTCTGTTTCATGGTACGTGGAACATCAGTACATTTCAGCCTGTGTTTGATCTAAGCCATGCATTTAATATAACTTTATATTGTGATAATAGCAATTAGTTCAGTGAGAAATACATGTATTTGTTATTGCTACTGTCTCTGAAAACTGTGAGGAAGAGATGATGACATTGACATGAAAAGCAGAAGCTAGATCTACAAAGCTGTCTTTGTTACTTCATGAAATGCTGTAGAAGACTTCTGTTGTACTTTGAGGAAAGTTCTGCTTTTCTGCTGGCACCTATTTCACCTTTACTTTTCATACCACTTTCCAGGTTCATGGAGATCAACAAATGGTTTCCAAGTAGGAAAAAAATGTTGCTAAGTTTTGCTGAAATGTTAAAATAGAAGGAGTACTTAAACTTTTTCTTCATACGCTGTCATATGTTTTTATGATTTAAATGTATCCTAGGTGTGTGCTTTCTCTGCCAAAAATACTGCGGTTTGAGATGAGCTTTCTAAGCCACTTCTTTGTTAAATTGACTCCATTCTGAATTGTGTCTGGTACTGGTTTCACTTCCTTTTCTCCCTTCTTCTCTTTCATGGTGTTGTAATAAAAGCTGAAATTGCTTCTTAGGTGACTGCTCTGGAGATTTTTGACTGGGCACAGTTAATAATTTTTTGGAAAATAATTAGTTGCGTTCCATGAACAATCCAAGCTTCACAATAGCAGCAAGATTTTTCACGTTTATATTTTTTACCAGCAGCTTCTTTCATGACTGTGTTGGTGCTATAGGACTGCTATTTAAACTGATACCCCATTTTCTTTGTTAAGTGTTAAGTAACCTCCTCTTCTGTAATTTGAACTTAACTCAACAGCTTCTTAAATTTTGGAGAACAATAAGAGCATCATCTCTTGGTAGTTCTGATAAATTTTTTTCTAATGGGATGCATTAAGGGAAAATCCATAGAATACAAGATGGTCTTTTTCACATAGTTTAGGTAATTCATATATCATGACAGTTGATTGACAGGCACATGATTTAGACTTTCATATCTCTGTGAAAAAATATAGATAAGTTTAAATTACCTTTGAAGTTCAATCCACTACTGTATTTCCTTTTTCCTCCTCTGGTACTGATTCATTGATATACAGCAGAGTTGCCCTTTTCTTGTTTAGAAATGATAATATTTTCACTTTACAGTATGCTGCTTCCTGTACATATCATAATTCTTTAGATAACAAAAAATAATCTGTTGAGACTTCCATTCTTTTGCATAATACCATAATGTGAATCCTGCTGTTCTGCAGGGAAAACAGAAACACAGTAATGTGCATATATATATGTGCATCTCTTGTGTTGGGAAGCACCATAAATCTTTTATAAATCATAGTCCTAACCTCTGCTGATCTGTGAATAATAGTACGAAAGGAATAGTGTAACATGCACTGTCAGACTCTTCTCCACTCAAACTTTTTCACTTCCGCTTATATACGGCTACAGCAATACCAGCGGGTGTCAGGGTGATGTGTTGTTTGGAAGCCATTGGTTGAGCACCACCCATGTAGGATATCTGGTCTGACAGGTCTTCAGAAAATGTTTGAAAGTATTGAATTAGGCACATTCATTTTGCTGTAAAAATTTGAGAGCTTTATGCAAATCATTATTTTTTTCTTAATATAAGAGAGAGGCTGTTTGTACTAGCCAGGCATGTGTGGTGGTTAATATGACTTTTGAAGTCATGAAGTAGAGACTTTTTAAAGAGGGGCTTCAGTAAGATGAAATATTTTAGTGTCTTCTAATCTGCTGCTGAATGACTAAGTCTGTAGATCCTGAGAATACTTCAGATCCTGGGTCTGTGCGTGTACATTGACTGCATCATCACTTCCTATCAAGATAGGAATGCTAGAATGGAAATTTTTATAAAGGCAAAATTGAAAGATGCTAACAAAAATCTGAAATTAAATATTCCATCATTATGTAAAGTGTTTTGGGCTTTTTCCTAAATAAAATAATCAAAATGAATTTTTGTTTATATTTTGACGAAAGTATTTTCACAGAAGTTCAGTGGAACATTTTAACTTTTCCTAATTACCAAATAAATTGTCATTAAAGAAGGTGAATCCCTTACATACTCTTTGTCTCCCACTAAGGAAATGTACGTAGAAAAGTTTGCTTGCTATTTTAACACTTAAACTCGTCGTTTATTACATACATACATATGGATGGACATACACCCTTAAACTTTTCAATTATGGAATTGTCTCTTAAAAGCTAGCCTGTCAGGGGTAAAACAGAGGAGATTTTGGTAGCATATTTAAATACTAAAATTAGAACAGGGCCATGCTTTGAGATAAACAGGTAACTAAAGTGTTGCATTAACTTATTCTACCTCAACTCTTAGTTTTTTCATACGTGTTCCTTACCTCTGTGATTTTCCTGAGGGTGATCATTTTGATAAATGTGAAGGAGGGAAGTTCAATATGTCTCAGCTGCTCTACAGAAGTGGGGGTGGGGATAGAAAAGAGGGAAAGCCTTTCCCAGTATTCAGAGTTGTCTCTAAATCTCTGTTTCCCACTTAACTTGGACTTACAAATGCGCAGTGTAGGAGCAGGACTGAAGAAGAGTAATTGAAATGTCAATCAGGTTCTTTCAAAGGCCTGTGACAGTGCTTGTGGATCTTCTTTCATTTATTGTGATACGGCTAGTACAAGTGTAGTTGGGGGGAAAAAAATGCTGTACCAATAGGCCACCACCACAGCTTTATGTGATGGAAGGTGCCTTGATGTCTTATTCCAAGTATTTCTTATTTTTTCCAGATGTCTGCTATGTTGTTGTAGTACAATAACAACAGGTTTTTATTTCTTTCCTGCATTCAAAATATTTTTATACTTTTCAGAACACTATACATCCATGGCCATACGAAGCTGGATTTCATGGTCTGGTATACCGCAATTGAAAAAGCAGCAGGTACAGATGGTAATGCATTACAAGATCAGCAGCTCAGCAAAAATGATGTTCCTATTATAGTGAACAGCTGTATAGCATTTGTTACACAGTATGGTAAGTATAGTGGATTTTATTCAACCTAAGATCATTTGTATAATGCTTAAGCCCCCACACCATCAGATCTTATTGGATGAGTTTGTTTTTACTTTAGTAATATATACCCCTCGTTAGCCTTGCTGCTCTTTGATGTGATGGTGAAGTACACTGCCACACATCTGAGAATGGGCAGCTTGGGGAAAATACTACTTGGTGGATGCCCTTTATAGCTACCTTCCTATTTTAAAAATTGACTTGTTTGCCTGATGTAGCTCAGCCTTGGGATCCAGTGCCTCAGTACAGAATGCCTCAGCCATGAAAATAAGCTATGTGAACCAGGAAAGGCTATGGCCCAGACTGGTCAGTATGTCTTCCAGGAAACTGATACTAACTGTGGAGCCGATTTCAGTCTTAAGGCTGCTGTTTTTTCAGCATAATAGCTTAAGGGTTAGTTACCGTTTAAGTAAATTTTGCCAGCCTAACTTTCCGTAGCATTAGATCATATGCGGATGATGTCTGGGTCCTTTTTACTACTGCAAATTCATCAGTTTTCTTGTGAAATGCTGAATACATATCAACCCTGTACAAATCTGTCTTCTGGATAAATGTGTTTGTAAACTCTGTCAGTCTGAGAGCGCCTAATTTATATTTCAGTGATTGAAGTTTAACTAAATAACTTTTGAATATGGCAATATTGCATTATGGTAAATAGGTGCGTCTGGGTTACAACTATTGCCTAAAACCAAGAAAAAAATTTTTTTGCTAAATTATTTTTTAATCATTAGCAATAGGAATTACTGTAAGTATAAACTGTTTTATGCACTGATATGTGGTTAAAGTGGGGTAATGATGTCCACCACTCAGAACAATCGCTCGTGTCTGTTCTAAATTAAAATTCAATTTCCTAATGTCTTTAAAATAAGTTAGATCTTTATTGAAAAATACGGGGGTTTTTTCAGGATCAGCATTACTAGATGTTTAAAATACTCATTTGAAACCTGAAGGAATTATTTGTATGCATTACTTGTATGCGTCATGTTTTTGTGTCATCATGGTAAAGGTTCTGTCTTTAGTTGTGGTCTACAGATGACAGACACTATCAGGTCCCACAGCCGTTCCTGACAGTAACAACACAAAGGCAGTATCAGATGAGTAGTACTCGTGGGCATTACAGGAAAGATGAATTGCAAGAACATAAGACGTGCATTCATAGGTTTTGACAGAGTACTTAATTTGACAGGTACATAAGAAAAGCAGAATTTTGTATAAAATACAGTTCTCTTTCAAGAAATGTGGGGAATGCAGGAAACACCTCTGGAAAGAGAAATAACAGGACTGTATATCTATGCCAAAAGTTCACAAGTGTTTTAAAAAAAAAAAAAAGTTTTGGCTACTCCCATATGCAGTAATTGAAGGTAGTCTTGACTGTGTTTTAGACTATGAACTTTCTTTTAAGTTGTCTTTGGGCTTTAGTGTTTTTAGTTGTTAAATACAAGAATAGTGGCTGCCTGATGTCTTCCTGAATGTGAGAAAAAAATCAGAAAAAAGGAGTATTTTCTACTAATCTTGAGGCTTTGAAGAGTGATATGTTTCAGGTTGGATTAATACAATAACAATTTACTGAGTCCTAAGATGGGTTGATCAGTAGGGTAATAAGATAGTGGGAGTTTTGCTCATGAAAGCAGCTGTGTTTTATGTGTAATACAATACCAGTCATCAAAACCTCTTTCCTTTACTGTACCTTTTGAAACTATTGGTTTAGGAAGTCCTGAAGAAATTTGGGGATTTGAATTGCCTGTAAAGTATTCCTGAAATTGTGATCTCAGGCTTGCTTAAAATTATGACATGTATTTTTGCAAAGAGGTCTGGTTGGGTGTAAGTAGACTTGGCATTGTTTTTACTGACAAAGGAGTATGTGCAAAAAGTCAGAGAGATTTTAGTTGAAAATACAATGTGTTTGACAGCCAGATATGCTTTTCATATAATAATGTTTGAAATTTTTAAAAGAATACTTGATTTTACATTTATTTATTTTCCTGTTCTGTACTTCTGTAACTTAGGTTTAGGTAGCAAGCAGATCTACCTTAAGAATGGCGATTCTTCCAATGTGGCTGAACTGCTGGAAAGCTTCAAAAAAGATGCAAGGAGTGTTAAACTAAGAGCAGGAAAACATCAGCTTGAAGATGTGACTGATGTATTGAAAAGTTTTCTTTCTCAAATAGATGATGCACTTCTCACTAAAGAGCTTTATCCATTCTGGATCTCTGCGTTAGGTAATGTATTCAATAACAATACAAGAAAGGCTGTATGTACCTTTTCAGTATCAAATTTGAGGGAGTTGATAATTACTTCCCTGTGTAAACCTATGATATTTGATAACTAGCAAAACAATTGCAGTGAGGAAGAAAAATGTTTGAAGCTTGGCTGCAATAGTCTTATGTTAATCAGAGAAGAATTTATTGCCTTTAAGTGAACCAGAATAATACTAACAAATAGCAACGTTTCCTTGACAATATATCTGTAAACAGTAGACCAATATTGCACTGTAGTAGTTGGCTCAGCAAAAGTAAGAAGTGATGATTAATATTTTATGGAAGCATGGACAGTAGAAGTCAAGAAATAAACATTAGAGTAGGAAAAAAGTGTGTCCTCCATCTTTTGACCACGTGTAGAAGTTTAGTTCCAAAGCGGCAAAATGTTGATGCTATCATCTTGCATGATAGTTAAATGACAGTCTTGCTGCTTAAATTCTTCAGATATCTTTTATGAATGTTCACACAAAGTTATGTATTAGTAATGTAAACTTGTTAACAACTGTTACTTGTTTTTTGTTTCCTTAGAAATATTAATTTAATTTGAAAGAAAATTTAAGTAACTGCAGCCCAAGCTGTAACTTGTGATGTGTTTAAAGCACGAGGTTGTGTGTCTCTGTATGGTTGAAAACAGAACCATGAGATTACTGATACATTAATTAGTTACTCATTACATAAATTGTGATGATTTTTATAGTGTTCTTACAAACCAGCTATATTTCTGTTTTTTTCTATATTGTAGTATTTACAGACTGTAAGAAACAAACTTTTTTCCTCCCAAACTGTGCTATAGAATTGCAGATGACGCGTAGCAATAAGAGATGTATAGGAAAAGCTAAGAACATTAATTTCTGCATTAATGCTTTGAAATCATATAGGCCTATTTACTGTGTGTTGAGTTTTGTCTTCAGAAAAGATATTAAAAGCATATTCCTCTCTGATTTTGCTGAAGTTCAAACGTATGGAGGTTGCTTTAATATGAGTCACTAGAAGTTTGGGGAATTCAAGTATGAATATTACACATCTTTGACCTGTAACCTTGATTTGAACAAACTGGAGGAAAGAATATTAAGAATTTGTTCACTTACCACAAGATTGCTCTCATCAGAAATCGGAAAAATTTGTGTCTGTAGCAGTTTAGACTTAAGTTAGCTCTTCTGTGAAAGTACATAGTGGTGTTACAGTGATTTAACTTCCTAATTTGACCCTGGGGCTAAAATTCTGCTTCAGCTTTACAGCAGAGAATTCTGTCATGTTATAATAAAGTGACCTGAAAGTACTTGTGGGAAGACTAAAACACTTAGGAAAATAGAGTAGAAGGCCTTTACACTGGTTTTTGTTTGTTTATTTTTTCTTCCAGTTACCGAAGAAATCAAAACATGATGTAGTAGTTAGTGGAGAGTACTAGCAATCACCTGGGATAGATGAGAGTTCTTCTGTGCTTTTTCATTTCAGAAACTTGAGAGAAGCAAGGGACTGAGAAGAAAAAGCTAAATAAATAAATAAATAAATAAAATTTACATTAACTTTACTCATGCCCTGAGCAGGATTATGCTCTGTAGTATCTATGCAGCACAGGGAGGCAGACTTAAGTTGAAGGTAGAGGGCTATGGCTGTGTCTCAGATACTGTAATTCCCAAGACTGGAATTCCCGTCATTGGCTCTGCCACTGTTCAAGCTATGTAACTTTGTACAATTTATTCACAACCCATATGGTCTTCTCTTACCATTGTCATGTATTTGGATATTTAAACTACTTTGGGCCTTGAGACATTTTTCCAATAAAAATAAAAAAGGTTAAAAGGTCTTTTCCTTTCTCATCTCTGGGAACTCTTAGAAGTACATTTGCACTTGTGCATTCACAGATGCACTCACACATGCACACACACAAACTACAGGTTAAATAGCCTTTGAGAGGAAAAGCAATTGCTATCTTGGCATTTAGTCTTAAACTGTAGCAAATGCAGCTTGAATATAGAATTGGTGCTATTTATTGCTGATACTGTTTCCCTGAAGTGGTGTACAATAATAGACTTTGTTAACAGTAGATTGTCAGTATTGCCTTTATGAAGAAGAGGTTGACTGACTAAATTGTAATTTTAAATGACTAGATGATGCCAATATAGTTAATGAGAACGGCTGTTGGTTTTTGCTGTGCATTGTTATTAATGCTCAATTATTATTATTTTCTGGCAGATACACAGAATGAAAAGGAACGAGTGAGGAAATACGGAGCTTTTATTCGGACGCTTCCACCAGTCAATAGGGCAACTTTGGCTGCTTTAATTGAACATCTTTACAGGTCAATGCAAATGATGCACTGTAGCAGAGAAATTCTTGTAAAGTGTTCTCAGTATAACTCTACCATAAGTGAAATGTGGCTTGTTTCATTAACTAGTAAGCATCAAAAGCTTACCTAGTTGTGACAGTTAATTATATTTGATTCTCTTTAATTTCTAATGTGTTTTTTCATTGGTTGTATTTTTAGCAGTATCTGTAAATATCAATGGGATGGAACAGCCTTACAGCAAGATGGGGCTGCCAATGTCTGTGTCCAAGTAGGGTAATTTTTGATGTAGCTTCTTTATAAGAACTCATTTTACCCCAGTCTGCTAGTCTTCCAGTGGATTGTTCCAAATGGTTCTTGAAATTAAAAGATTTTTTCAGGGAAAGTGTCTTTCTCCACGATCTATATTGCATATAATAACTGAGAATTAGCTACCCTTTCTGTTTATCATCAGTGCTTCATTTTGCAACTGAAGTAGCAGTAGAGAATATCCAAAACATAAACTTGTTTAAGCAACAAAGGTCCTGTCTTATTCCTAGATCAAATAAGCAGCAGCAAATGTATAAAAAATGTGACTTGGATGATTCTGCAGTGTCATGGTTAAATAGTAATGGTTTATATTATTGTATTATCTATTGAACAAGTCAAATTATATTCCTGATAAATTGTAGTGGGTAGAGAATGTGTAGAACATTTTCTTTACAGGATATTGTCTTCAGAAATTACATTACATGGCCAGGTACATAGCAGATGGCATTTAAGAACTGTTTATACGATTATTAAACCAATTGCTGCCATTATTGGGATAAATATTATAGTAAGTATTGTGTTTAACAATGTTTCTAGGTATATCCAGTTCAGATATATTAATATGCTGTTATATCTTTCTGAAAGTATTTTGAATTCATGTGTATAATGGCCAAAATTTGGTGATACTTTAAAGTGTTTGCTTCTAAAAGAGGACACATTATATAAACAACAGAACTTTAGGAAAGAAAACTTTACCATAAGTATAGAAACTAAGAAGGATCTAATTTCTTTCCGCATTTGGTTTGATCTTAGATCATAAGTTTATAGGTTGCACTTATGTAACATAATATAGTGCATCTGTATTCAGCGTTGGTGCAGCCTTACCTTGAGTCTTGTGTGCAGTTCTGGGCCCCAGACTTTAAGAAGTAGGGGAAGGCCCTTGAATGCATCCAGAGGAGCGCAACAAAGCTGGTGAAAGGGCTGGAAGACATGTCGTATGAGGAGTGGCTAAGGACTTTGGGCTTGTCTAGTTTGGAGAAGAGGAGGCTGAGGGGCAACCTCACTGCTCTCTACAGCTTCCTGAGGAGGGGAAGGGAGAGGGAGGTGCTGAGCTCTTCTCACTGGGATCCAGTGATAGGGAGCGTGCGAACACTTCAAAGCTGCATCCGGGGAGGTTCACACTTGACATTAGGAAACATTTCTTAACTGAGAGGTTGGCCAAATACTGGAACAGGATTCCTAGGGAGGTGGTTGATGCCCCATGCCTGTCAGTGTTTGAGGCATTTGGACAATGCCCTTATGCTTTTAGTTTTGGTCAGCCCTTAAGTGATCAGGCAGGCAGACTAGATGATTTTTGTAGGTCCCTTCAACTGAACTATTCTATTTTTATTCCATTCTAAAATAATTTTTATATCCATTAAGATGCTGATAGAAAGTGTTAAGTTTTCATTTCTGTAATGTGACGTGAGATAAAGAGTATAAAAGAAATAAATATTTTAAAAAATTAAAAAAGAAATTAGACTTTTTTCACTGCATTTAATGTAGTTATTTTTGAAATGCACTCCATATTCTGTAGAGGAACGTCATACAAATAAAGGAACAATGGAGCCTTCTAAATATGTTTATTTTTCCTTCAACAGGGTGCAGAAGTGTTCTGAAATCAATCATATGAACCCTCACAATCTAGCCATGGTGTTTTCCTCATGCTTATTTCAAACTAAAGGCCAAACTAGTGAAGAAGTCAATGTAATTGAAGATCTAATTAAAAATTATGTGCAACTTTTTGATGTAGGTATCTTTTATATAAAAGTGTCCTAATTGCTCAGCTGTTAGACATGCTAAAATATCGAAATTTTCTTAAAGATGATCTTGCTATTAGTTACGCTGTCTGAGGATTTGCAGGGCTTTTGAACTCTTAATTCGGTGGCCGTTGTTCTTTGTCTGCTTTAAATTTTATTTCCCAGCTAGCTTAGCCTGTGTAGGAAAGACGGTATTTATAGAATTGCTGTGAGCTACTGTTGTCTAAAATGGTGCACATTCTTCTTGCCGACACCAGCATACCAATTCTATTCAGATTTTACGGACCTGATCAGAACTGAAACATGGAAGAATTCTGTGTTCTTAATCTCTGAGTTGTGGTTACAATAAAGACTAGAGAAAGTGTTTGATTCCCTAGGCCTAGAAAGACCATTAAATCCAGCTGGATAGGAAAAATACTATTAGGAGCAATTTGTATTAGCCATTTTGGTTTGGAGTTTACTGTGCCACTATAACATTGTTTGGCAGTTTTTCATGGAGTCCTCTCTCTTCTAACGTGTATTTGGTAAAATTTATAGTAACATCCCATCAGTGAAGTGCTTTTTCTGACTGATACAATATTTTGCACAGCTGCTTCTATAGGAACATGATTAAGAGTATTGTTAATTGAAATAATATTTATTATTGTTACATAATTATTACTTACTATGATTGGATGTATGTACTCCTCCATATTTATATTTGTATTTATCTTAGTTTATTATATTAAATTACTGTTTGCTAGTTTATGTTGTAATTTTTATACTAGCTCCATTGTACTCGTTAATTGATGAAAATTGTCCATTTTAACAGATAAATGAAGACCAGGTCAAACAAATGGATATAGAGAACAGCTTTATTACCAAGTGGAAAGACACTCAGGTAAGCAGCAAATATCAACTGGTATGAAAACAATTTTAACAAAGACTGTTTTGTTGTTTACAAGTTTTTATATTTAGATTTCTAAATGTAATCAAATGTATCAAAGTTTGTATAGTGCCCAGTGTTATTAACTACAGAGCTGAGAGAAATAAAATTAAATAAAAGAGAAGGCATAAACTGATAAAGCAAAACAGTTCTGTGTAAAGCATACTGTGGAATTATGTTCTGACCTGAGCAACGGGATAATTCAAAGTTGTTATGTGCTTTTACCATGCTTCATAAATTGTACTAGAAAGAAATGGTCAACCTTTGCAAGTGTGAAAGTGATGACCTGTTCTTATTTGGTTTTGATTTTGGGGTGGGTTTTTTTTTGTTTTGTTTTTATTTTCAACATGCATATTAAATACTGTCGAGTATATGAATACTTTTATTTCATGAGCTTTGGATATACCTAGTCTCTCTTCATTAGAGTTTCACCATCCTTTTTAGAGTTTAAAGCATCTGAATCTTTAGCTACATCCTGTTTTGTGATCATTTGTAGTACCCCAAAACACAAATAGTATTTGGGGAAGCTTCAGACACACACTAAAAGTCAAACTGAACTTCAGGATACAGTGTAGGAAAATGGGAGATCTTATGTCACTTATCATCTTGAGTTCCAGTCTTACCTATAACAATTTTTGAATAACTTCAGCATGGTGAGAAACAAAGTGATAGCATGTTTCACTGTCTGAATGGTATTTGTGTACAGTCCTAATTAAAGCAAAAATTAGAAAGTTTCATAACACTGCAAAGGTGGCTGAATTAAGAGAGGTAGAAGGAAATATAGGGAGCTTAAAAGCTTTTTCAGAAATCTAAAGTAGTGGAGGAGAAGCTTTTGGTGATTTTGGAGCTTATAGGGCCTTAGAAACTACTAGAAAGCTAACAGAAAAAAAATCTATAATGCTTTGTCTGTTGGCTGCCTTCCCCCTTCCAGCAACAGTTTGGTGGTACCTCGTAAGCCGTCATTAAGAAGACAGGGTCTTGCAAATACACGTTGAAATTGCATGTTCTGTGAATTGCTATGTGGAGTTTTATCTCATATTCCCTTATTGTCTGGGTCAGAGTAGCGTGAAGCTTTCTGACCATAATGACCTACTGTGAATATACATACAGAAGGTAGAATGCCTGTTTCCTTCTCATGGTGCCCTGTGGGGAGTGACCAAGTCACTGGGAAACAATTTCAAGTTTATTTCTGGTGTCTGTCTTGCAGAATGGAAACATCTGCCTTGGTAGTGGCAAAAAACACCCAAACTTGATATCCTTAAGAGCATTCTGCAAGGCAGGGGTTGAAGTACCTTTTCTGGAGTCCATGAAAAGGATCTTATTGAGATTAGAGAATAAAATTTTGAAGCCCAAGATAGTGAAAACACATATACTTTTAAATACATTCTTTTCTGTGATTTTAGAAGCAAAAAAAAATGCTTGTTACAGCTTGTCACACTATTAACATTTTCCAGGCAATTCTGGGAAGCCATAATGGTTAAATGTTTGTAATACCTTCTGGAAAAATTAGGGAGATGTGAGAGGAGTTTCATGAGTAGAGAGTGGTAGTGGAGACATTATGATTAGTTAGGGAGAAAAAAGTAGAAAGGAAACTGAAAGGCTGTTGACGGATTGAATACTATGATAGCGACTGATGGCTAGGTGGGTTTGTTTAAAACTGAAGCTGTGAGGAATATAGAGAAGACCCAAATAAAATGGTTTTGTTCTGTATTTTTTCCACCCCAGATACCACTGCAAAATCACCTTTATGAGGTGTATTGTCTTTAGAAGGCTGAAGAAAAAGAGACACTTGCTTTTTTTCAATTTTTAATAAAAGTCTAGGCTTTCTAAAATTGGTAAGGTTTTTATTAAAAAGCTTCCAGCACCTGAAAAGCTAGTCTTCCAATTTTAAACTTTATAATCAAATTGGAACCTTCATGAATAATTGGGACTGTTTGGACTGGTTTCCCTGGAACTCTTCAGGTTGTTGGGAGGTGGAGTTACAGAAAGATTGAACTGGGCTTTTAACTGTTCTTATGTTGCTCTCAGCAAAGCCTCTAGCATTAATAATCAGCTTTCTGAATTGCTGGTTACACCTACTGTGTTAATAGACTCTGGCTTGATTCTCATAACACACATGGCTAAGCTTTAAATTCTTTACAAAAAATAGTAATACCACTTTAACCTTAAAAACTGCTACCTTATCACAGAATTGTCATATAATCATAGAATAATAAGTTGGAAGGGACCCGAAAGGATTATCCAGTCCCAGCTCCCTGCTCCTTACAGGACTACCTAAAACTAAACGATATGACTAAGAACATTGCCCGGATGCTTCTTGAATTCTGACAGTCGTGGTGGTGTGACCACTTCCCTGGGGAGCCTATTCCAGTGACGAGCCACCCTCTTAGTGAAGCACCTTTTCCTTATATCCAATCTGAACTTCTAATGCAGCTTTATTCCAGTTGTCTAGGTTGGAAGGAAACTGTTGAGATCATTTAGTCTAATTACAACTGCTGCTCAAGCATGGCCTCTTAGAGCAGGTTGTCTAGGACTGTCCTGTCAGATTTTTAATATCTCCAAGGACAGAACCTTTCTGGGCAACCTCTTTCAGTGTTTGCCCACCCTCATAGTATAATTAATTGTTTTCTTGTGTCCAGATTGAATTTTGTGTGCTTTTAATTTGTGCCCATTGCCTCTGGTCCTGTCACTGGATGTCTCTGAGAAGGGTACCTCAGTGTTCTTCATTCCCTCCCATCAGGTATTTGTACATGTTGGTAAGATTCCTTCCAAGCCTTCTGTTCTGTGGGCTGAACAGTCTCAACTCTTTCCGCCTCTTAGAGAAAGACGCTACAGTCCCTTCATCGTCTTGGTGATTCTTCACTGGACTCTCTCCAGTAGTTCCATATCTGTCTTGTACAGAGGAGCCCAGCACTGGACACTGTACTCCAGATGTGGCCTCACCAGTGCTGAATAGGAGGGAAGAATTACCTCTCTTGACCTGCTGGCAGTGTTTTGCCTAATGTAGTCCACTAGGCCATTGGCATTCTTTTCTGTGAGCATGCACTGTTGGCTCATGATCAGCTTGTTGTATACTAGGACATCAAGGTCCTTCTCAGCAAAGCTGCTTTCCAGCTGGTTGTCCCCCAGTGTGTACTGATACCTGGGATTACTCCTCCCAAGGTGCAAGACTTGCATTTCCCCTTGTTGAACTTCATGAGGTTCCTCTCTGCCCAGTTCTCCAGCCTGTCAAGGTCCTTCTGAATACATCAGCTACTCCTCCCAGCTTGGTACCATCTGCAAACTTCTTGAGGATGTGTTCTGTTGCATTATCCAGGTCATTAATAAATATTAATGGTCTCCCGGCTGTTCAGCCAGTTTTCAGTCCACATTACTGTCTACTTACCTGGCCTGTATTTTGTCAGCTTGTTGCTGATGATATGGGAGACATTCTCAAAGACTTTACTAAAACTAAGGTAAAAAATATCCACTGCTATCCTTTCAACCAGTAGTATCCTCATTGTAGAGGACTATCAGTTTGGTTAAACATGATTTCCCCTCCGTAAGTCCATGCTGACTAATCCCAACCACCTTGTTCTCATTCATGTGTTTGGAAATGCTTTCCAGGAGGCTTTCCCCCTTCACCTTCCCAGGGACTGAGGTGAGGTTGACCAGCCTGTACCTCCCCACATCTTCCTTCTTGCCCTTGGAGATGGGATCGATACTTGTGCTCTCTCAGTCTTTGAGAATCTCTCCCAGTAGTCATGACTCTTCAAAGACAATGAGAGTAACTTTACAGTGCCATCAGTGAGATTCTTCAGCACTCGTGCGTCCTACTTGTCAGACCCCATGGACTTACATATATCTAGTTTCTTTAAGTGCTCCTTAACCTGGTCCTCTTCCACTGAGGGTAATCTTCCTTGCTCCAGACCTTCCCTTTGTTTTCAAGGGCCTGGTAATGACTGATGCAAAAAAGGTGTTGAGTACCTTGGCCTCTTCTGTGTGATTTGTCACTTGGTCCCCTGCCCTATTCAGCAGCGGGCCCACGTTTTCCCTAGTCTCCCTTTTGCTGTTTATGTGCTTGGAGAATCCTTTCCTGTTGTCCTTTGCATCCCTTGCAAGCTTCAACTTGGGGTTGGCCTTGGTTTTTCTAACCTTATCCCTGCACAATGGGACAGTAGCTCTCCGCTTTTCTTGGGTCACCTGCCCCTGCTTCCATCTCTTCTACACCTCATTTGTACGTCTGAGTTCAGTCAGGAGCTCTTTGCTAATCCATCCATGCCTCCTAAATAGAAAGGGATGATTTGCAGTGCTTTATAGCACTTAAAATTTGGAAGGCAGCAGTGAAAGGGCTTCTTATTTTATTAGTGGTATGCGACTGTCAAATTTGTTCTCATTAATTCTTAACTCATTGCTAGAAATGACTACTTTTAGTTTACTAGCGAACACTTGTACAAGTAGAACTTAAAAGTTGAAGAAAATGGCACTTTCTACTTGAGTTTAAAGGGAGAGAAAGGGCTAAAAAGAAATGCATTAGGAATTGTATTTAAATGTATACATTTGAAAATCTGTGTTTTCATCCAGTGGGGAAAAAAGGTTCTCCAAAGAATGTGGTAAATAAGTGCTAAATACTTAGATATGATGTATGAGAGTGTCTCAGCTGAACAATGGAGTCTGCCTACTAGGTCTCCTAGACATGACTTCACTGGTATTAAATTTCACTGAATTGTGTTACCACCTGGGTTTATCTTTAAATTTTTGCTGTATTCATTAAGTGCTTTCTCAGAGAATTTCTAGAGTAAGTTATTACACCACACCTATGATTTCCATCTCAGCGTTGGGTGGGGGTTTTTTTTGGTGGTGTTTTGCTGGGTTTTTTTCCCTGGCAAGAGCTCTTGTGTTTGCATACCACAGAGTTGTGAAAGTCCAAAAGTCCTAGGTGCATGAGGACTAACCTTACCTGAGGTGCAGAAGCACTCCCTGGCTTGCTCTGTGATTTTGGGACCCCAGTTGCTCAGGGCAGATGCCTGACCAGAGTGTGCCCTGATTCTTTCCAGGCCCACGCTGTTAGGTTTCTGGTGGCATGAACTCAGGCATTGTGTCATGCAAGAAGCAGTATTTCTATTTTAAGAATTTAGTGCAAAGCTCCTAGATGCCGGACATACCCTTCTGTCCTAGATTAAGCACTTAAGTTATTTCTGAAATGGGTAGGGAAGGGAGAAGTAAGAAAAGAAACTTTAGGTACCAAGAATGTTGTAATAGAAAAGGCTAATTTGTTGAGTACCCCTGTACATAAGTGATGGTTTTCAGGATTGCTATTGTGAAATTAAAGGCAGAAAAATCTGTTTAATCTCTTCTTGCATTGCTTAAGACTTTATGACCAAATACTTTGGATGTCCATATGAACTGTTGCATAAACAGAGGAAAAATATATCAGAAATATCTATATGCTAGAAAATCTCAATGTGAGAAGATGACAGAAAAATTTATTATTAATGAAAAGATATTGTAGTAAAGTACCACCTTTTTCAGTCTTCTAGAAATATTTTACTCTTAAGATATAATCAAATATTTTATGCTGTATGGTTTCTATTGTATAGGAAAAATGGATTTGCACTATGAATTGTGTACATTGTTTCATGGCTTTATTCTTTAATATAGACTTGAATGACATAAAATGAAAAATAGTATATAGAATGATCGACTTCCCTGTTTCCCAAACAGGACAATGATCTCAACTTAAAACTTTGATTGATGTTCTTCTCCCTATAAATAAAATAAGTAATGCAAAATTTCTAGAACAGGCTTGGTCACTGGGGCATTTTAAAATTGTTTATCTGACGTGATTCCAGATTCCTATTTGGAAAACATGAATTCTTAATATTCAGCACACATTTTCACAATCTGTTATGAGGAAAATAGTAACTGAGCTGCTGGATTTTATTCATTAATCTCTGACGATATTGTGTCTGAAGACATCATGAAATGCTGAGTTTGAGTTAGAAAATGATTTTGGATCTTACCAAATCATTGGTATCTTTACTCTGTATGACATTTCCTGGAATAAGACCCACGGGAAGTCAAGATAGCAAACGTGAACTTAGCAGACCTTAGTTGTTTGGAAGCACTTATTTGAGAGAACAGCCTTTTTCTTTTTAGCTTTCTGAATAAGCAATGGACATTAGAATAAAACTTCTACTTTTTACTGGTTGGTAAATTGAAGTTTGAACTGCTTTTAAGGATAGGGACTGTGTTCTCTCCGTTATGTCAGCCTGTTACCCCCTTGGATGTAACAACTGAGGAATGGAGTCCTCAAGAGCCTGACTGTCATTTGTGGCAATTTGATTGTGACTATGAACATTTTTCCCCTCTGAATGAAGCTGTGGAACATTTTTTGCCAGTTGCCATTTTTCTGTAGTAGACATGATTAATGTAATTAGTGTTTCAATTTAAAAACAGATTTTTCTGAAACTCCATGTGCAGATAACATGTGAAATGCATGGATGTCTCATGCCTGGGACCACTTCAATGCAGAATTCTGATCAAAGATGGTGCACTTGCTATTATTTAAAAGTATTTACTGTCTGAAGCCCACTGATTAAAGAAGCTTCTTCTAAGTGGTGACAAGGATGTTTTGAGATTTTATATATAGCTTTTTCTCTAGAAGAATTCAAGATTTCCCTAACTATGCATGGTGTTGTCAGTAGAATTTGCTGGGGGAATACATTATAGCCAGACCTGGACTAACACTAAGTGCTTTTGAAAACAATTCACCTTCCTCTTTGTTAGATTTTACATTTATAACCTGTCATGAGTGTAAAGTGCATATTACTCATAAGTTCAAAAGACTAGATTATATGGATGCCTACACTTTGTGTTTTACCAGGCTTGGCCACGTAAACTTCTTTTAAACTGCTGTTGTTAAGTCTAACTTAACATTTGATGCTTTCATTAACACTATACAAAGACTAGCCAGACCCCAGCCGATTGTCATGAGCTGTATTTGCCAGTACAGACCTGAAATAGGATAAACATTTTCAGACTAGAACCAGTGGTTAGTTGTAATGGTGTAACTTTAACTTGATATCTTTCGTTGTTTCAGTGGAAGAAAGGGGTATGCCGAAACATACTCTTTTTCAGCTGCTCTAGTTCCTCTGTCAGTAGCTACCATCATTCATTCCAGCCTGTAAGCAGTTTGCAGAACCATGCGTGTGGAAGGCTTGCGTATGCAGACCATGTAGCATGGAGATTGGCCTTCAGGCTCATGCAGGAGAGGTAGCTCTTTGGGAACATTTTTGGATGGGCTTCCAGTTACTGTTAGAACTGATGACATGATGCAGACCGAGTGATGTAAGCATGGGTGATTGGCAAGTTATGCCTCAAGCAACTACAATTAAGAATTTTGTGTAAGAATCCTTTCCATTTAACATCTGACTGTCTGACATCATTGTGTCAAAATGTATGCATATTTGTGGGAAAATCAGTGATGTGGATACTTACTACATTTGAGTATATAGGTTGCTGCAGTAGTATTATCTCCAGGCTGGTGATGCAGTGTATTCAGAGAACAACAACTGAACCAAATTCGTGCTGAAGGCCTGGAAGTTCTCGTGTCTGAAATGTCACTGAAGTTCCATTCCAGGTGGCACTTCATTAGCTGTTCTTCATTTTCTGTCCACCATATACTTATGCCAGTTGTTTCTGTTTGCTGCTGTAATTTACATCACGTTTTCTTTCCATACGGTTGTTTACATGAGCCCAGTGGAAATCAAATGTCAGCTTCATTCTTATTTCCAACCTTTTTTCTGTAATATCATCTGAAAAGCAAATTTTACAACTAAATGAGCTTTTTTGAGTCTGTGCTACTATAATTAAGCAGCTTTCTTCAAAGTAGCTTTGTAATGTTTTTCCTCACAAATGTTTCCATTAGTTTTCTATTCTCAGAGGCTAAGCTAACTTTAAAGTCACCGTTTTTCAGAATGTTAGCGTTCTTTAAAATTGAGTGCTGCCATTTATTTTTCTATAGAAATGTAGTTTTAGGTTCTGTAAATTAGTCAGATTGTATCCCAATGCTTGCCTGTTTCTATCATTTTCTCCACATCTTATTCTGTATATGATGCAGTTTTTTACTTTTCTTAACCTCTTTCTCTGTTTGTAGTAATATATAAATAATAAGCATCACTATGAATACTGTTCTCAAAATTAAGACACAAATTGTTATTCCTAATGTTAATTTAATTATTAATTCTTTATATTGGCTTATTAATAAAAGGGTACACCTTCTGAAAGGTCCACTTTTCTGCGTTATTTTTTTCTTACTATGCTCTGATCATCACCATGTATTTAGTTTTGGAAAATATTTTTAGTATTGGCATGAATTACAATCTCTTGAAGATGCTTATGACTGTACTGCAAGGGAGGTAGAGCGGGCAAAACATGAGACATTTTTAACTGTAGAAAAGTATAAAGTAAATTCTCATCCACTAAGATAATTTTATTGCCATAGATGAGCAAAGCTACTAATAATGGAAAATATGAAATTCCTTCTCACGAATCAGATTTTTCGCCTTGTTCATAAAATGTTGGATTTACTGACTTTCCGATTTCTTTGTAAATTTCCTATTGTTAGGCATTCTTAAGTTATGTTTGTTGGCATTGAGTATACAAAACTATTATGTAATACATTTGCTTTATTATCTAATTATTCCACGTTAGCATTGTACATAAAGTTTAGATATCTTTCCAAGAAATTTGAAGAGCTGTATTTGAGGTTGATAGCAAGAGCATTTGTTTTGATTCCTTTTTTAAATATTTACTGACAAGTTTTCATTGTGATTAATAATTATAAATGTGGTCTTCCTAGTTATTAATTCTGATTATCTGGATATCTACATATGACTATGTCACAGAAATATTCTCTTATTTGTAATTTTTCCTCTCATTTCCAACGAACTCATTTCAGTTTGGGGTTCCTGTCCTGTCTTTTTTCATTGTTTTAAATTCTATTCATCTGTTTTGTCTCTGAAGTGAGCCTGGCTAACCTCTAAATCAGAGTTATGGTTCTGGCAGTTTAAGATACTGAGGTACACTCATTTTAGACTTTGCAGTCTTAAATATATATATTTAAAATTTCCACTTATTTCACATCTCCCCTAGTTTTTCCGCTCTGGAATGGATATTTGTAAAGTGTGTTCATTTTGTTTGATATGATTCTATTGGATTAGTCAGGGTTTGAATTTTCCCCTTGAATCTGTGAATAGTTTTCAGTTTTTTAACTTACATTAGTCAAAAGTGAATGTAGCGTGGGTTTTCCCATTAGAGTCAACATTTGGACTATTTTTGTAGATAAGTGGGTGGAAAAAAAAGTTTGAGTTCAGTAGGTTCTAGCATATCTACTAGATGGTAATTGTACTTTCCCTATTTAAATGGATGTTTAAAATAATTTTAAGACAGTCTAATTTTGTTTTAATTGTTTTGTTTTAGGTTTCCCAGGCTGGAGATTTGCTTATTGAAGTTTATGTGGAAAGAAAGGAGCCAGACTGTAGTATTATAATCAGGGTTAGTGTATAAAAGTGATGCAGTGTTTTTACTAAGCACTTTCTCATGAAGTGTACCAAATTTATTTTCATACATGTTTTTATGTAATTACATAATGAAAGTATGAATTTATATCTATCCCTGTTTTTTTAAATAATTTTAAAAAAAAAAATTTCTGTGTTGCCTAAAGTTTGTAAAGACTGATTATTATGCATTGTTAAGGAGAATGTTATGACACGACTTTAAAGAGGAGACATCCTCCTTCACTTCTACTGCAATATACAGTGGTATAAGTTTTTGCAGCTGTACGGGTGCAACACACAAGAACGTTAAGTACACAGTGAATGCTGCTTTTATTCAATAGTACAAGGCCATTTAAATTACTTTCCTCCTGATTTTTCTTTTTGCCAGTGGCTATCTGATTTCCTTGAGCGTTAAGAAACCAAAGCTTGTTCCTTACTATAATTGAGATTTTTCAGCCTTGTATCTGAGTGTATTTGAAACACACTCATCTCCATGTAGTAGTGCTCTATTGTTTGGATGCTGAGGAAAAAAGATTTCATTTCTGTAATGGCAAAGGACAGATATTGTTATGCAGTAGGCAGAAAGTTTAGGGCAATAATTTTTTGCTTTTGTTTTTTTAAATCTTACACCTCTCTGTTTCCGTTTCCTTTTTGTTTTGTTCAGCATATGTCTCTCAAACACTTGTGTTTGTACATATACGTGGTATGTAGTATACATAGATACATGCACATAAGACATGGGTTTTTTAATAGGAATAAAAATGGGAATATGCATTGCTAAGATTAAAAAAAGGTACTTCTGTAATATTTACCTTCCCATACCCAAGAAAACATATCATGGTGCTTTTTTTTTTTTTCTTCCTAATTTTTCAGGGTAGAGAGAAGGAATTTCAAGTTACCAAGTTATCAGTCAGCTAAAAATTATAACTTCAATTTCATGGAACAAAATAAGGAAAGCGTGCTGGAGACTGACAAATAATGTATGGTTTTCTTATTTTTTTTCGCCCCCCCCCCCCCTTTTTTTTTTAAGTCAATTGCAAGGAGGAAGATTTTGAAAAAAGAAATCAGAAAACAGTAATTGTAATATATTATAAACTGACTCAGTTTGTATTACAGGTATCACCTTTGATGGAAGCAGAAGAATTAACTAATGATGTTTTAGGAATCAAAAACATCATTCCCAACAAAGATGATATCTGGGCTGCTTTTGAAGTACTTGAAAATGGAGAACTAGGTTAGTGACAAATTTATGCATGTTCATCACATTTTATTATTTTTATTTTTAAATACTTAACATAATCAAAAGCTTAGTTAAAGAGTTACTAAAAAGTTTATAGAAACAAAACAAAAATTAGCCCAAAAAATTAGCCTCCATGCTGTTGTTTTACATTTGGTTACTGGGGCATCTGCATGATTTCTTTCTACACTTCACGAGAAATAATGTGATGAATTGTTTTAAAATGCTTATAAATTGGGGGCTGAAAAAAAAGTTCTTTATGTTTCTCTGCTTTGCAGTTCATTAGTCATCAGCTATAGAAAAGTAGATCTTACCAATAAGTCTCAAAGAAGAAACTTATTTTCATTAGAATGTCAGCAGCTGATTTTATAAGGAATAATGTTTTTCAGAAAATGAAATGAGAAAATATATGTAATCCTTAGGGGAGAGGATCTTTTTTATTATTTAGTCAATTACTTTATCTGTGTGGATAAAAAAAGAGGCATAAAGTGTGTAATCCTGTGTTTATGGCAAGTGGCATTATGGTGCATCTAGTAGAATCTTGAAAGATTTGTTTTAAATATGGTTCTGCTGCCAACAAGAGCAAATGTCACACGGTCGCAATATTCATGAACTGTAAAGAGGTTTTAACATTGGGAGTGCTTTACGCATGCTGGAACTTGCGCTTTATTATTAGAGATACTTAAAATTACATAGAGTAATAGAGGGTTTTTTAATTAAAACATTGTATTTTGATGAATATTCACTAATGCCATCTGATTTTTGAAGAATATGGGGGGACAGAAATGCTTTTAGTAAAAAGCAACATCTGTTTGCACTTCATAGTAAGTTGCTGCTTTTACTATTTTCATGTTACAGACTAATTTATTTCTGTAGCAAAGATACCTATTTTCAAGTTTTAAAAAAAAGTATTAAAAAATGGAGATAACTAAGATTACTAAATGTTCCAAGATTGTTTGAATAGTTTTGTTGTACTTGATTTTCAGATGTGCTTACAATAACCTCTTCAGATTCACTAATACTCCTTATATACTGTCTTTACCTTGGCAGTATCAGTAACAAGAATGCAAATGCATTCTCCCTTTTGAGTTAAAATAAATGATCCTGATTCCTCCTTGCATCTTGCAGCCTTGTGGTGATGTGTAGAGTTGTAACATAGAGTTCATTTCCAGATTCATAGATGCGGGTGTCAACTGACAAAGAATGCTAGCATCTGTTATCTTTAGAAGAGTCCTGATAACTCGTGCAAGTACTCTAGAAATCCTATTTCTTTTGACTGAGTAATGGAAAAATTTCAAGAGGGAATTTTACTTTCTTAAATTTAATATATAACACTTACAGACAAATGAAAACTAATCTAGAATTGGCCAAGAGAACATGAAAGTAAATACAAAGGACAATATATAGGACAATAAATACTAGCAAGGGATTAGAGCATATCTCATTGAAACAAGAGTTTACAATGCAAGGTAGAAATGGCATACCTGTGTTTTAAAACTAAAACAATCAATCAAGAAGTCTAATTCAGCACCTGATTCCAAGCAGTAGAGACTGTGTTAGTGAAATGTCTTCTTCATGGACCCCTTTCTGGAAGAATCTGTGCATCAGAACAGGCGAACTGAATTAATAATGTTGAAGAATAAAAATAATGCATGTAGTAATGCAATACACTTAGGAAGGCTCCTTAGTGCTATGGCTGAATCTGGCAGATTTTCAAAAGGCTGAAACACAGAAAATAACAGAGAAAAACAGTCCTGTGTAGTCCTTGATCCAAATGCGACACTAAAAAACTAAAAAAACCTACTTGATTCTTTGCTGCTAGAAGTTGATCTTACTAGCATCATTTAAGAAACACCATTCAACATTGCATAATCTAATTTACAAATAAGTTGAGATTCTGACATGTCATGACAGAAATGAAGTTTGCTTATTTGTTTCAAACATATATCAATGGTCGCAGTGTCTTTCTGACAGAAATTAATTTTCTGCTTGTGTTCCTGCCATGATCTGGTACCTGTCCAGTGCATGGTGGTATTCAGTTTTACACTCAAACCTGAAGTTTTATAAGAGTTATTTTACTTTTTAAGATATACTGCCCTGAAAATGAACCCTGAGAAGCCAAGAAAATTAGAATCTTATATTTTCTAAAAAGTAATTTTCTCCTGATAGTTAATGTTGTTTAAGCTGAAAATTACTGGGTTTGGATATTTACCAGCATATGATGACCGAAGTAAAAGGGTAATTGGACATATGTGTTGACTGCTTGCTGTTCAAAATACTAAAATTGCAATATTAAAAAACCAGCTAAATTATTTGCATGTAGAAAAGTTGAAATAATTGATAATTTTATCTAACCTAATGCAGAACGTTCAATACCATATGCTTTTATAAAATAGGGTGTATATATTTTTTTTTGGTAATTTGTGCTTGATGGATAGTTTGTAAATGAGGTGTGTTGCCAGTAAAATAGCTAATGCATTTCAGCATGATGATTTATGTACCGTGTAATCCATGATGACAGATGGTCTTAAATGTAACTATAAATAAAACAGTAGGTGTTTACTCTGGGAGTGCTGGTGTTCTAGGAAGATGTGGTGATTTGCCAGTGTTTCCTGCCTTTGATTTGTAAAGTTCTCCTTAAAATGGATTTTGCTTTCTTGTACAAAGACAACAAATTGTTTTAACTTTATCACATCAAAACCCACGGTTTCCCAAAAGTTGAAAATAAATTTTAAAAGTTTGACCATTTAGAACAAAAAGGCCAGAAGAAGTGGGGTTACAAAGTAGGGACTGAGCTGCTGTCTACGGAATAGTATTTTTGTTAGGCTGCTTTGTTGTCATGTCTGAATAATAAAATCTTTATATAAGTGGTATAACAGGTCTACAGGTAAGGTAGGTTTTTTGCATCCCAAAACAGCGGAGTTTTTTTCTGTCACTTAAGTGTGTTATTTGTGGCTGCCGCATTCTGAAGCTCTGGTGTTCAGGTGTTCAGGAAAATACGTTCTGCTAGAGTGTAGTGCTGGACAGTCCCAAAGCAGCTGTTGACATTTCATATTCATCTACCCTAGCAGAAATGAAAAATGAGATTATGGTGGCATACTTTTCCCTTCAGTACTTTAGAGACACAGGGCTAGACTGCCTGACCCAACGTGACAGTGTCACACAGGTGTGACTTCCCAGGAGCTGCACCCAGCTCTGCTCAAGGCCTGACCCACATAAGTTGGTGTGCAAATGGGGACTCAGAACTTTTGGAAAAATCTCTCTTTGGAAATAAAGTGACACTTGGATCCACTGCTGTAAGTTGTAGCCCGCAAAGCCATCATTAAGGTTTTTGTGCTTTCATGAATTACAGTAGGTGCTTACTGCTGAGCAGATGAAAGCCTTCAGGGGAGTGCGTGTGTGGAGGAAGGATTAATGGAGAGGGGAACTGTAGTCTCCCTCCAGCCACATCCATGTTGCCTTGTGTGATACCTCAGGTTGTGTAGCAGTACGTGACACACTCAGATTTCTGCTGGATCTGGTAATGCAGATTTAGGGACTATTTGCAAGATCTTCCCTACTTTCATTTGGTGTGTGAACTGAGGTTTGTATGGAGTACTGGCTGGACTTTCTCATCACTGCAGTTTTTCGGTTGTGTGAAAGGGTTTCAGTTTCGCTTTTAGGATGGATGATAGCTATCAATAAATGTTTGAGCAACTGAAGTGTTGAAGTGCACATGTACAGTCCAGTCACGCCTTCATCTATTGGTATTTTAATCTTGCTGTACTCTTTGTATGAGGTTGGACTATAAAAGTACAAGTCTGGAAATTGCCTGACCACAGCAGTGGGGAGAAGACCTAGTGAGACCACATACTTTTCCCTTCTAGTAAAAGGAATGTAATGAAACCAAGAGTCTGTCTCACTCTCCTTTGATTATTAACAAACAATATAATCTATACCAGTTTGGGGTGTTTTCACTATAATTGCTCCAAATTCTTTGGGTTTTGATTGCAGAGAACTGGTAGCTATGATGATTGATTATTGTATTGAGCCTAGGCCAATGAGGCCCAGTAAAGCTGCAGGTCTCAGTTCTGTTTGATCATATTTAGGTATGCCCTGTGATAGTTCCTAACTTTTGTATTTAGTTTGAAAGCAGTTTTTTAGTGTCTTTACATAAGAAAATATTCATAACTAAATACAAAGGAGTCACTGAACATTTGACTACTGCTTATTTAATTTGATATTCATTACCTGTGCAGACCCTGCTGGCAACGGTGTTGCTGCAGAAAGTCAATGAAGTGTCTAATTGTCTTATTTTGAAAGCAGTGTTTTTCTTCTATAGCTCAAAGGGAATGAGACAGTGTTCTGTATAGACATGTGTAACTTCTAAGGGCCTCCAATCTTGTTGTTTTGTGGTTGTTTTGTTTTTTTTTTATTTCAACATTGTGTTTTGTTTTGTTTTGTTTTTTTTCCTCTGGCATTTTCAGAACGTCCTCTGCATTATACAGAGAATGTACTAGAACAAGTTCTTCACTGGAGTTCACTACCAGAGCCTGGCACTGCATATCTGATAATAAAGAGATTTCTAACAGCAGACATGATAAAACTCTACAGCGGTACGTATGTTTTTTAAAACTTAGATATTTCACGTGGGGACATGAGGTTGGCAATTCTTTCATAGCTGTTTTGTTGGGGCAAAGTGTCCCAGAATATCTGAATTACTACCGCTTAAAATTACTGATTTACTGAGGGTTGTGCTGACTTCTTTTTAAAACATAGAAATTATGGACGTTCTTGTTTCTACAAACTATAAGCTCTCCCATTTGAACCTGAAAGTATACAGAAACTTTGCATTTAGTTCACAGTTGGTGAACTTCTGCTGTGAAACTTGAGACTGCTCTTTTATCCATAGTGCAGGTCTACACAGTCCATCCACATATATACTATACTCTCTCTCTCTGGACTGTATATATGTATATCTTGTGTATATATAATGGTTACATTATATATAAAACATATAATTTATATATAATTATATAAGTATGTCGTATACTATTCATAATTTCTCTTATATAATCCTATGCCTCCAAACTACAAAGCGAATTTCAATGACATACTCAAGCAACTGAATGACTTGGAGAGTATGTAGCCTTTAAAAAGGATCAGGAATTTAGATCTGACACTTGAAAGGAAATATAGCTCAAATATATAGTGGAAAAATATGATTTATAAGCTGACCTAGTCATATTTTGGTTTTCTTTACATAATACTTGGATTTAAATGTCCTGTGTAATCATGTGCAGTATTTGCTTTGAGGGAAGCAGGAGTTTAGAAGTTAAACGTGTCCAAAAATTACTGTCCTGTTTTCAAGCAGTTGAAATCCTGTATGCTGTCACTGTAAAACATGCAATGGTGACACATGATGTCTTATTTAATGCCTATCTGTTTCTATCTAATGACTTATTCAAATATATAATATTTTCTTTTCTTGGCTTCCCCATACACAGAGGTCTTAATCTCTCCATCTCTATCTCTTTTGTCTTGATTTTAAGACGTAAAAGTTATGCTATTATGCTTATTCTTCTGAAACTAATAGCCTTCTCTCATCGTCCTTTATCCCTGTAAAAGCATATTCCACAATTATGAACCAACTTTAACAAGTGTGCTATTCATGACATTTATGTTTGAGTTTCACTATCTCTAAATGTGTCATAGCAGATAGTGAATAGAGGAAAATGGCCTACTTCACGAAAAGCTTCATACATGAACTCCCATCACCTCACTCAGTATGCGTTGAGGTATAGTCAGAAAAGGGAGTGGGTCATAATGATTGTGTGAACCACTGCTCTGAGAAGCACATAAGGATTAGGCTAGTGTCAATTTACAAAATGTAATACTATTTAAAGGGGAGAACTGCCATTTGCCCTCCTTCTTTTCTAATTTCTACATCCATTTGTTCGCCCAACCCATTACAGTAGTTGTTCGCGTCAATTCTATTCAATTTGAACTTAGTCGAGACACACTGGCTTTTGACTGAATGTTTACATTTACTGGCTTTTTTTTTTTTTTTTGAGGGGATGTTAAAATAATTAAAACCTTATTAAATAAGTTATATTGGTTTTCTTAGTGGTTTGAAGGGAAAAATTTCTGCCATATTGCAGACTCACACTGTTGATCTCTGCAAACTACATGGCAGAGCCATCTTGTGTATTACAATCTTTTCTTGAGAGTAGAATTGCCATTTTAAGGAACTTCTACATGCTGAACATACTTTATCTTCTAAAATATTACTTTTTCTAACTGGATCTTGTTATAATAAAATAATGTTTAAAATAAACAGAGTTCTGTATTAATTTCATCTTGTTACGGTTTGAGTCCACTTTTAGCTTGTAAATTTACTCTGAAACATTAGCAATACTGAGGAGTAAGTTCACTAGCTTCAGCAAAACAGTGTATATATTAAGTGTAGGCAAAGATGAACAGAAAGTCTGCACCATTCATCCACATTTTGTAGTTGCAGGATCCTAGGTGTTTATTGTTTCTCTTTCTAATCCTGCATCTGTACACACTGTTAAAACAAGTAAACAGCTATTTCAGGACAAAAAGATACGGGGCTTTTTTTAGATACATGTTGTACTTCCATCACTAGATAGTGTCAGAGTGAGAAAAGATGCAGGATGAGGTCATTGAGGAAGGGATGCTCCTAGTATCTATAGGAGGCGGCAGTTGTGGTTATGCTGGGGCTCTCCATCTCAAAGTGCACAAGAAATAACTGCTGTTTTGAAGGAAGAATGGGAGGCCTTAATCTTTTTCAGTCTTTTACACTCTTTATGTGGATAATTACTTCTTGCTGAGTAGTAGGGCTGAGGCCAGATGTCCAACCACTACTATTTGAACTATGTTTTTAACAGTGGATTCAGCCCATACAAATGGACAACTGAGTGGATGGATGTCCTCCTCCTTTGCAGTCAAATTAATAGGGCTGTGATCATATTGTGTTTATAACTGAATTCCATTATTTTCCCTTGGTTCTCAGATTTATCTTAGAATCTTACAGACTAAATTATGATATTTCTGACCTTTCTTTCTGGTAATGTTACCTCAGAGCTTTGTGTCATCAGCACTTTTCTCCTTTTTCTTCTAGAGACTTTAGTGATGTTTGAAATAATGTTGGTTCAATAGTGAGCCTAAAGGAACAACCTTATTAGCCTCATTTCATCTTGGCAACTTACTGTTGTCTTCCCTATCACTGCAACTTTTCCCATGTTTCTTATACATAGTACATTCTGCTTTTTCATAATTATTATACTCATTCTAATTTTGTTGATTTTAAACTAATTTCTCATGTTGTGCAATGTCAAACATTGTATTGAGGTCTAGGTGTATATTTTCTCTTGTCTAGAAACCAACTTTCCTTTTCAAGGGAAAAAAAAAGTGTTAGTTTACTTGTACGTTTCAGTAAATTCATGGTGAGTTTTCCACTTCCCTCCAGATCTTCAGTTCTCTCTTGACAATTTATCCATAGCTTTTCATGCTTGTTGCAGGAGCACTCTTTCAAGTGCTATTCAGAAGGGCGAAGTGTGCATTATATTTTGGTATAAGAAATACTTAGTACAGCTTAGTTCTATTTCAAGTCCCTTTTTCTTCTCCTTACCTGAAAATTTCCCGCATTAAAGTTTTATTTGTTAGTGAATCCGTTCTCTTGTATTTTTCTATAAAGTGTGTGTATATAAGTCCTTGAAGTTTTACCAGTACAGAGTTGTATAATTTGAGTGGGAAGTATTGATTTCTGAGATCGGGGCTATTACCCAGAGATATTCTTTGAAACACAAACTTCTAAACCATAGGTGGATCAATCCTGAATGTACTGCGTGCATCTTGTCCCTAGTAGTTGCAAAGTTTTAGAAAGTTTTGCATGTTTTGTAAAACTTGTATCTGAAAAATCATTCTAATTAGGACCCATCCTGATCATTTTAGATTTACTTTATGAAATACTGGCTTCTAAAGAATACAGAATATATTCTAGTTTTAGGGGTTTATTGTTTTTCCTCCTTCAGGCTTTTCCAAGATGTTTGGAAGTATCAAGCGTTTGATAGATTTGCTGTGGTGGGAATACTGTGAAGTTTAGAATGAGTTTTTGTCATGTCGAGAGCTATGTGCAGAAACTTAGTCTTCCGATTTGGTACATGGTACAGACAGGAAAGTATCCTGCTACTCTCATTTGGTTTGGTTAATTAAAAAAAAAAAAACCTAAAAAAAGCCTGTAATTGTGTGGATAAGGCTTCATATTCTGAACATGAAATAAATATTTTTATTGGCAAAGAAGGAATATGTTAGCACTTTTTTTTTTTTAACTGTGCGTGTATATTTGCACTTATAACTGAGGCAATCCAAGTAAATTCTGATTTTAATTGGTGAAATGTATTGATTCTAGCTTTAGATTCTATCTTACACTCTAATGAAAATACTGAGAAACTTTCTTTTGAGATTTTCCTTTCATGGCAAGCATGCTGATTGGAATGCAGTTGGTTTTGATGAAATCAAAGAAGTTTATTATCTTTTTAATTTCCATTATATGTTTTTCATAACTTCAGTTTGTACTGATATAAAACAAGAGGGAATTAGATTCACAATTTTTAATTATCTTCTTTTTGCAAATAATTAGGGTTAGTAGGAGGAATAATTTAATTCTGACTCTTGAAACAGCTGTTTTTCAGCCAGTATGTAGGATGGGATTGAGATACAACTTTTCAAGTTAGTCCCAAAGTCTCTGTACACCACACAAATGATAGTAGAATCTGACTCAGAGTTTTGAAATATGACCTAACTGGTTTTGATGGTTTTGATTTTTTTTTATGCACTTCAAAATGTATTTGCGTAATTGGACGTTTGAGACTGGATATCACTCATACTTTTTTTGCATGCACAGCCATACATCTAATGCATGTCACTATTAAAGCATTGGGACTCTTCATAAATACTCATGTGTGGAATAACTGTCTAAAGGTTCTTTAAAAGAACAACAATAAACTTAAATACTGAAATATAGGTAGTTATAAACAGTAGTGTGCAGTGTATTAGACCCTGTAGTTTATGCTCATTAGTGATGTTTCATGCAAATTCTTAATTCTCCCTTGTCACCTCTCATACTTGCTTTGTGCACATCATGCAGTAGTTGAATATATTGACTGCTTATTTAGCAGAATGTATGAAAATGGAAAAAATACACAATTTTGAGTACGTGTTACAGCAAGTGTTGTTTCCAAAGCATGATTATTTGTGTAGTTAGCTGTGGCTGTGTAATACAGCTTTTCACAAATAATTAAAAAAAACAAAAAAGCAAACAATGAAAGTTGATCTTTCCTGACCAAATGAAAATGTATTTTTTATTACTTTTTTATTTATTTATTTAAAACATTTTATTCTTATTTTTTGAGATTATATTGTGTGCTGCTGCTTAATAGTAGAGTTTTGATATCAGATGCTGAAATCCGAAGTGAAATTTTAATGAAAAAAGCCAACCGAGTAGTTGGGTAAGGATGATATTCTCCATACACCACATACTCCTTTTACACCATGGTTTTATTTACTATCTTGAAATTAATATATTATTAAA